GAAAAAAAAAAGGAACCTGATCTGCTATAAGGTTTCTGGACCATATTCTTCATTCAAATATATGAGCCCACCTTCTGGGAGTGTGGAAGTGGTGTGCTGAGCCTGTCAGATGTGGTTTTCTCTTGCTCTGACAGTGGTGGTGGCATAGTCGCTGAGTGCAAGGGAAGCAAAGCTTTTAGGAGAGGAAATATCTCTTGTTAGATCAACTGATGCAAGTCAAGGAGAAAGTAGAGGTTTTCCAATTTTGGACTTGTGTGCCTGAAACCCTTTCTGTGTTCCTCTTTCTCTATCGCTCGATCTAAACTCTTTGCTGAGCACATCCTTGCTGTGTTTTGCCTGCAAGGAAGGAGAGTTGTGCATGGATTGTAGTGTTTGATTTTGCTAGGATTTTTCTTAGCATCAGGGTCACAAGGTAGTGACCTCTGAAGGCTTCTGAAGTGAGAGGGCTGGTGGGGTGTAAGCTCTTCCATGAGGAAAGCTCTAGATAGACAAACCCTATTTCACTCTGACTTTAAAACACTCTAGAGCAATCCTTCCCTTTCAGAATTTGACTCTGTTCTGTTCAGATTTTCTTTTCTTTGAAGTAGATCTTGCGATCCCACCTGGAGTCTGCAGCAACATCCATACTGAAGGGATGAAACAGATCCCTACTCCTGAAAATCCCCTGAAAACCCAGATGCAAGGGAAATGATGCAGAGGGGGACAGCCCATCCTCTGACACTGATCCTCCAAGTATCTCAGAGGTTTGGTTGGCAGGACAATCCAGCCAAGAGCTGGAAGAGCAACCTGAATGAACCCACCCATCCTTTCCATTTTAGGACGCTTTCAGGGAGTCAACTTTGCAGGATTTGATCTGGGAATATCTCAGGAAGCAGCCTCGTTTCAAGGCGCTGGGTTACGTGAGCACTCACTGACTTCAGACTCGTTGGGGCTAAGTGTGGTTCATGTTGGGACAGGACATTTGTGGTCATGAGCTCGTGCTGCTGTTTGGGGCCCTTTTCCCCTCCACCCTAACAATGGTGTTCATGCTTCATGGATAAAAGCTAATCTTATGCATGTGATAGACTGTTGCATTTCTTTGTAGCACTGCTAATAAAGCGAAGTCTGGAGGAATAAGAGTGTGTGTGTGGAAAAGTGTCGTTTCTTTGTTATGGAAAAAGAAACCCCATAGATTTCAGGGGTATGTCGTTCTGGTCCACCTCTTGATCTACTCATACCTCTGACTACCAGCTAAGTTATAGCTAGATTTGATTAGTCATAGTTTATAGTTGAGGCTTTTTTAGCTTCAGCTATAGATGCAAAGAGATCAGCACCGGCTCTGAGAAAGCCCCTTCCTGTGCCTCGGAGCCTGGAGCTGAGCAAGGCACTGGCTGCACCGTCGCTTCCCCAGCAAGAGCTGCTGTGTGGAAGGCTTCGCATTTTGGGATGACCTCCAGCATCTGTTGCTATGTGTCTGTCCTGTGCCTGGATGAAGTGGTACCTTGACCCAACGTTGTGCGCTGGTCTCACAAGGAACCTGAGGAGGGCTGCATAGATGGGTGGTGGGTGGAGGAAGCCCGTCCTCCCCCTTCCCATGCTTCTGTGGCTGTGAGTGGGATGTTCCCACACACCGCCCACTCCTGTGGCATGTCCCTGGGGCCCATGCCCATGGTGGCACATAATGGGAGCATTGATGTCCCCGGCTCCCAGGGAAACCCTTCGTTGGGCTGGTTATACAGATGCATCTTCTGCAGCTTAAGAAGTTCCACATTGCTGAAGCTGGGTAGAAATCACAGTGTGGAGGTGGCATCTCCCAATGATCTACAATGCTAGCATGAGCATTGGAGAGGGAAAGAAGAGGAGAAACAGACAAGAAAGAGGTGAGAAAAGGAGGTAAAATGGAGTTCTGGCTCCATGGATAGAGGTGAGCAGCTCCTGGGTGAAAAGAGTTTAGCAGATTGGGGAGAAAAAAAGATGTGTTTCAGAGCCATGAGGAACGTTGTTGTGGGGATGCACATTCACTAGATCATAACAGCTAGATGAAGTGTGGGAACTCAAGGCCTGAAAACAGGGAAAACTGGGATCCAGATTGACTGTTAGTCTGTTCCTCAAGCCTAGCAGAGGAATGTACTGCATTACTTAGCATTCATATCTGTGTGTTAGCTGGAGAAAGTGCCTTTCCCACAGACTTGTCTCTAGACTGTGGTGTGCAGGAGCAAACCGGAGCAGTCGAGTTTCAGGCTCCTCAATCATCCTGCAAATCACAGCCAGCCCAGAATAACATAGCGCCACATGTTTCCTTATTTAGGTAAAAGCATCAGGAAAATAGCACGCGATTTTGTGTCTGATAAACTAAGAGCTGTTTCAGGAATATTAATTATTTTGTTATATCAACAGTCTACATTTATTTTTTCACTGCGATATTGTGAGTGAGAGATGGATGAAGTCCTCAGCTGGTTTCTGAGTGTCTTTCAGAGACTCTTGAATGCCTGAACAAAATCAATAATTGTGCAGATGTTTTGGACTCGGTAGGGGTTGTCGTCTGGTTATTTTAGCCTAGGGCATGGAAGTCATGGGTTTCATTCCTGATCTTCTGCATCATCCTGATGCAGCAACACTTGGAGTCAGATTCCTAGAAAGCATCTGGGTACCTAAACAGACCTAGCAAGACTCTGCAGGTATTTAGGCACCTGGATGCTCTTGAAAGTCCCACATGCCACCTCTATAGCTTCCAGCTCTCAAGCCCTCCCACTATCTGAGTGATGCAGGAGATGTCCACATTTTGCTGCTTCATGGGTATTTTGTAAGGAGAGATGATCATAGCCCAGGAGCTGCTGGGAGCCCACAAAGTCCTCAGAGACATGTGTAATTTTTCAGTAGTAAGTGAGTATGGAAGGGCAGAATCTATCCCAGGATTTTTTTTCTGCTGTGTCAGATGAGCTGGCTGCTGGGCATGGTGCCTGCATGTGGACATAGCATGGGTCAGGAGAGGATCCCAGCCTCCAAATGGGAGCTGATTCATGCCCAGGCAGCTCACCTCAGTGGAGCCATCTCTGTAGGCAGGAAAGTCATGGAAGAGTCAGGAATTAGTCCTTGGTGTCCACCCTGAGGGCCTGACCCAGAAAACCGAGATGAATTTGCAAGAACTTTGTACGGGGTCTGGCTATCTTGTGGGAAGCCCTCCTGGGACACACTGGTAGCCCCCATAACTTTGTTTCTCTCCCATTTTCAGTTAAATTTGAAGCTACTTTTGACTGCAGTGGGGTTTGGCATGAGAACAGAGCATCATGTTAATAGACATGATTTTCAGGCCAGATATTAGATGATGATGTCTTTGGGACAAGGAGTTTGCCTTCTTCACAGTGAAGCAGCTAGGCAAGTGTTACAAAGGCATGTTTTATATATGATGAGATATGATCATATATGATGATGATGATGATATGATCATATATGATATGATATGATGAGAGTTGTAGCCTGTGATTGGTCCTACATATCGGTGTAAATTGGAGCAATTTTGTCCGAGTCTGTGACATGAATATAGCCTGGACGAAAAAGCAAGTTGCATCTGTGTAGGAGAAGTCCTGAAGGTTTGACTCAGTCAACACCATCTTTGAAGTCAATGAGGCTGAAGTTATTGCCTGTTAAGAGGAGCAGTCCATCTGGGATGTCTCAGATGAATGAAGTTTAATACTGAAAATGATGATAGAAATATGTAAAGCATAAAAACACCTCTGCCAGCCACTTTGTTCCTGGCTTGGAGGGCTTGTATGTTTAGTCTTGAATGTTTTCACACTGGTTTTGCGTACTGAGATAGAGCTGCTGAGTGAAAACAAGTAAGTGCCAATAAGAAGGCCTGATTTCGTAACCGGGGCAAAACAGACAAATTGCACGTTCAGCTACTTTGTAGCTTGGCGTGAGGGGTTCTCCTGGTAAGGGTCATGCTGGGGACACGAAGAGGGCTAATAAATAGTATAAATAATAGCATTAGTAGTAACGATGTCTGTGGGCATGAAAGTAGTGGGTTTTTCTTCCTTTTTTTCTTTTTTCTTTTTTGGCATGTGTTTAGTCTCGTCGGCTTGATTTTCGCCCGGGGGTTCTGAGAGCTGGAGCGGGGACGGGCGGGGATGCAGCGGCCGCGTTGGCGAGCAAGTGACCCGCGGTGGCCAGAGGCCTC